TTCCCTGCTATCAACCTGGCCAGCCCTTCCTGCCGTTGGGCCTTTGCCTGTGCTGTCAGCCACCTGGAATGCTCTCACACATCACCGTGTGTGAAGCCTTTGCCACCCACAAAGTCCGGTTCTAGACAGCCTCACCAGGCAGTCCTGTTTCCCCCCTTGGAGGTAGCATCCCTTACCCCACCCCCATAGCTCACTGTAACTGCTGTCACTCTTAGGTTGGTTTCCTGGTGCTGCAGTGGTTGTACATGGCTTGTAGACCTACTAGCTGTAAGCTTCTTGAGGGCCAGGTCCCCTTCCTTCTTTCTGTTTATACCCCTGCAGAACTTAGCTAGCGCGTGCGAGGTACTCAGTCATTGTTGAATGACTGGGTGACTGAGTGCAGAGAGGGAGGCCGTCCAGGAAGGATTGTCCTCGCGTATTGCCTCTGCCTTCCCGCCTCCCCTCACCCCCGTCCCCAGTGGGAAGGAAGGTGTCCCAGTCGTGTGGAGCTGCAGGACAAAGGGCACAGAGGCCAGCAACTTACTTGGTGTGAGGAAGTGTTACTGAGGGAAGGTGTGGGTTGGGGCTGAGCCGGGGGGTGGGTGGTCGGCCTTGTGATACTGCAGAGAGGCGTTTGGCCCTGATGTGCTAATGATGGGGGAATGGTTGGGTTCCAGTGGAGGCACGTGGCAAGGTGGCTAAGAGCCACTGGCCTGGAGTCAACAGCTAACCTGGATTCAAATCTCCACTCCACTGCTGACCGGCCGTGTGGCCGTGGGCAACTGCCCCTCCTCTCTGATCCTCGGTTTGCCCATCCTTACAGTGGGGTTAATAAGACTGACTTTCCAGGCTCGTGATGATCGCTTGGCACAGTGCCTGAATACACAGTACCCCATAAGCAAAGGGTGGGTGGCAGTGGCAGTGAGGCTCTGGGGGACCCTGGGCCGGGCTCCTGGGGCTCCTTCGCCTGGGCCTGGCCCTTGGGGTGCACGAGCAGATGGATCCTCAGGCTCTTACAAGTCCAGCTCCCTGGAGCCACTCGGTGTCCCAGGACCCTGGATGCCTTCCTGGAAGAGGCTGTCCTGAACTTACCCCAGAGAGGCATTCACATAGGTCGAAGGGAGGGAAACAGAAAGAGAACTTCAGGCCAGGCTGAGTTGTAAAAGAAATAACCTTCATTGCTGTTTTCATAATTATAAAAATAATTATGTTCATTGTGGAAAATTTGGAGAATTTAGAAAATTAGTATATAGCGAGAAACTTAAATTACCCTTGACCCCATCCATCGTTGGGATAAATCTTTAGTGAACTTCCTTGTAACGTATGGGTGATTTTGTATCTCCTTTTTGCCCCTAATGACATTTGGTCTGTGAACATTTTCGTCTTGTGATTTCTAGGGGCTCCACAGAAGTCCATGGTGGGTATGAATTTAGAATTTAGGTGGTTCCTGCTGTTTTGGGTATTGTAACTAGTGCTGTAGTGCTTACTGGCAAGTGCCTGAGAGGAGGGGCCGAGGGTGCAAAGAGGCGGCCCCCTGAGGGGTGGGCTTCTGAGCAGACACACCGGACAGCTCTGCTTCCCCGTCTTTTCTAGACTCTTGAGCAGTGCTCGGCAATAGAAATAGAAGGCAAGCCCCACATGTCATTTAAAATTTTCTAAGAACATTTTATGTATTATTTTTAAGAGTTATTTATTTTATATATATATATTTATTTATTTATTTATTTATTTATTTTTGGCTGCATCAGGTCTTAGTTGTGGCATGTGGGATCTTCATTGAGGCAAGTGGGATCTTGCGGCACGCAGGCTTCTCTCTAGTTGTGGCGCGTTGGTTTTCTCTTCTCTAGTTGTGGCCCATGGGCTCCAGGGCGTGTGGGCTCTGTAGTTTGCAGCACGCAGGCTCTCTAGTTGAGGCACACAACCTCAGTGGTTGTGGCGCGCGGGCCCAGTTGCCCTGCGGCATGTGGGATCCTGGTTCCCCGACCAGGGATCGAACCCACAGTGCTATAATTTCACTGGTGTAGTCGATCTCGATTTAGATGTCATGAAACGTACAGTTGAAAAAGTAGATTCACATCCCCAAGTTGTTCCAGACATACTGAAGGTTTTTCAATAAATGAATCAAGTGTCAGTGTTTAAATTTAAAAATAATTCTAGTTCGGTAAAATTTAAAACTCAGTTTCTCAGTCCCTCAAGCCACATTTCAAGTGCTCAGTAACTGCGAGACCAGTAGGGGCCCAGGACTGGCCCTCGGCACAGGGTATGGGGGTGATGACAGGTCTGTCCAGGGAGGGTGCTCTTCGGGCTGGGGCGATGCTGAGGGCCTCAGGCCTCTGGCTACCGATTAAATTTGTCTAATAGGCCCAGGGGAGCCCCTGAAAGTTTTGGAGCTAGAAGTGACGCCATGAAAGATGTTTAGGACAGATTTGGCACCTGCCTGAGTGTCAGGCCAAAGTGGAGAGAGTTGAGAAGCAGGAGCCAGGTGGGGAGCAGGTGCAGAAATCCAGGCTCTTAGAGAGAATGATGGGAGTGGAGGGGCCAGCGCTGGCCCAGCAGAGCCTCATCCCCTGTGGGTGTGGGTGTGGGGAGGGGCCCCGGACTCCAAGTTAAGCCTGAAAAGGTGGCAGAGAAGAGTCACAGGAGGGGAAGCCAGAGGCAGGGTGGGCTTGGCAGAAAGGTGCCTTTCAGGCAACGGAGCGATAGCAGGAATTCCAAGGCTGGCTGGGGACTGTGAACGCAGGGCCGAATGTGCGTAGGAGACCAGAACAGGGGAGAGAACTGGAATCAGCCTTGTCCGAGGTTTTGGCCCAGGTTGGGTAGGTAATAAAATGAAAACAAAGATTTTACCTCTTCTCTACTGGAATCTTCCAACCCTAAATTATTATTTTTAAAATATTCCCTGGAGACGGGCAAGATGCCCATGTGAGAATGGGATTTTCACTTATTTTATTTTTTATAACTTTGTTCCACTGTGTAGTAATATGTTTATTGTGGAAAATTTGAAAAATTAACAAATAGAAGGAGAGGACCCTCCCCACCTCTGCCTCACAAAACACACACACACAAAGCACTCAGAAACTTTCACTGTGAGCATTTTGGTTGTTTTGTTTTTTTAATTTATTTTATTCAAGTATAGTTGATTTACGATGTTGTGTTAGTTTCTGCTGTACAGCAAAGTGATTCAGTTTTATTTCTTGAAAGATATATTTATCATTATTTTTTATTTTATTTATTTTTGGCTGCATTGGTTCTTAGTTGCGGCACGTGGGATCTTCGTTGAGTCATGTGGGATGTTTCGTTGCGGCGCCTGGGCTTCTCTAGTTGTGGCGTGGGTTCCAGAGTGCGTGGGCTCTGTGGCTTGTGGCACGCAGGCTCTAGTTGAGGTGCACGAGCTCAGTAGTTGTGGCACACAGGCTTAGTTGCCCCGTGGCATGTGGGATCCCAGTTCCCTGACCAGGGATCAAAACCGCATCCCCTGCATTGTAAGGCAGGTTCTTTACGTATATATGTTGTTTTCCATTATGGTTTATCCCAGGATATTGTATATAGTTCCCTGTGCTATACAGTAGGACCTTGTTGTTTATCCATCCTATATGTAATAGTTTGCACCTGCTAATCCCAAAGTCCCCATCTATCCCTCTCCCACCCCCCTCCCCCTTGGCAGCCACAAGTCTGTTCTCTGTGAGTCTGTTTCGCAGTCACTGTGAGCATTTTGGGGGTGTCCTGCTAGTATTCTTCTGGGTATCATTTTTTAAAATTCCTGTTATCCTAATTTTATCTACTCAGCCTTTTGCATTTTTTCTCTAATATTTTGTGATGAAAATCTTTTTAAGAACTTAATATTGAGGTGGTTAAACATCATACAGCGTAAAATTCACCCATGCTAATGGTACAGTTGGTGATTTTTAGTAAGTTTTCTAAGCTGGACAAGAGACGATGAGAAATTTGGATCACACTGGAAAGGTGAAGAGCTGTGTGCTGAGCAGCCACGTGCCCGCCATCAAGTTCACAACTAATATTTTGTTGTAATTACTTTTTCATCATCTACTCTCTATCCCTTCATCTATTAATCCAATTGTTTTTAATATGGATTTTTTTAAATTGACGTGAAAATCAACACAGTTAACCACTTTAAAGTATACAGTGTGCTGTTTTTATTTATTTATTTATTTTTGGCTGCACTGGGTCTTCGTTGCTGCACGCAGGCTTTCTCTAGTTGCGGCGAGCGGGGGCTACTCTTCGTTGCGGTGCGCGGGCTTCTCACTGCGGTGGCTTCTCCTGTTGAGGAGCATGGGCTCTGGGCGTGTGGGCTTCAGTAGTTGTGGCACATGGGCTCAGTAGTTGTGGCTTGCAGGCTCTAGGCACGCAGGCTCAGTAGTTGTGGTGCACGGGCTTAGTTGCTCCACGGCATGTGGGATCTTCCTGGACCAGGGCTCGAACCCATGTCCCCTGCATTGGCAGGCGGATTCTTAACCACTGCGCCACCAGGGAAGTCCAAGTAGACAGTGTGCTCTTATTTGTTGTGTTCACAATGTTGTACAACAACCAACTCTGTAGGTTCAAAAATTTTCACCACCCATATAAGCACCCTGTACCCATCAAGTAATGACTCCCCATTAACCCTAGTCCCCTTCCCTGGTCACGTGATCTGCTCTCTGTCTCTGTGCATTTGCCAATTCTAGATATATCAGATAAAAGGAAGAGCAGACCTTTTGCATCTGGCTTCTTCACTTAGCGGAATGTTTTTGAGGTTCATCCAAGTTGTGGCATACATCAGCACTTCATTCCTTTTTTCGGCTAAATCACATTCAATTATATGGATGTACCCAATTTGTTTATCCATGTGTCTGTTGTTGGATATTTGGGTTGTTTTCACCTTTTGGCCATAATGAATAATGCTGCTATGAACATATTCATGTAGGAGTTTCTGTGTGGGTGTATATATTCAATTCCCTTGGGTATATATTTAGAAGTGGAATTGCTGGGCTATATGGTAACTCTGTTTAACTTTTTGAGGAACTGCCAGGCTGTTTCCACAGTGTTGCACCATTTCACATTCCCACCAACAGTGCATGGGTTTCCAGTTTGTCCACATCCTCGCCGACACTTGTTATTTCAGTATTTTTTGATTAGAGTCATCCTAGTGCATACGAAGTGGTGTCTCCTTATGGCTCTGATTTGCGTTTCCTTAATGACTGATGTAGAGCATCTTTTCATGTGCTTGTTGGCCATCTGTGTGTCTTCTTTGGAGAAGCATATGTTCAAGTTCCTTGCCCATTTTAAAACTGGATTGTTTATCTTTTCATCAGTCCAATTAAAAATGTTTGTGTATCATTTTTTGTTTTATGTCATTGGGATCAAACATAAACGCTAAGTTTACATGTGGCTTTTCCTTTTGCTGAACACGTAACATGAGCATTTTCTATGCGATCAAAGACTCTCTTGAAACCTGGGAAGGGTGTTTACAAAAACACAAGTCTGCTCCTTTTTCCTTCTACTGTCCTGGGTTCCCCAGGTCCTGCCTGAGTAGTGGGGTGGGAGCAGATGTTGGTGGGGGTGGCCTTCCCTCTGCACCCTGACTGCCCCGGCTCCCTGCAGAAGTCCCCAGCATGCAGGACATGCACACCAGCCCCAGGGACCCGTGGATGTCTCTGGGCCCACGGGAGGCCCCCGCCTCAGGTGAGAAGCTCAGTGGAAGCCCCCAGCCCCGGGCCCTTGAGGTGGAGGTTGAGGGTGGCGGCAGGTGGTTTGGGGGGATGGGGAGAGGTGGGTCTGATGCGGACACAGATGGAGGGTGAGGAGCCAGGTGGAGACATCACATGACCTTTGCTTCCTCGTCTCTCTAGATTTCAGAGACCAGTGGTGGGCACCCCAGGAGCAACCCTCAGCTCGGGGTAACCCCAGAGGCAACCAGAGTCCACACCTGCCAGCCCCGGGCCCAGCCCCGTCTCTGCAGCATTCCTCACACCGGCAGCCCCTGCGGTCTGGCTTGGGGCCCCGTGACTGCAGACACAGCCCCCATGGGTGCTGCCCCGATGGCCACACTGCGTCTCTTGGGCCACAGTGGCAAGGCTGCCCGGGGGCCTCATGTCAGCAGAGCAGGTGGGTGCCTCTTCCTTCTCCCCAGGTCGAAGAGGGAAGGTGTGTGTTCAGGGGGTGTGTCTGATGCACGGGCAGTGTCTCTGCTCGGAGAGGGCTTGGGGTGGCTTAGCAGAGCTCCAGGCTGAGCTGCCCTAGTAGCGCAAAACCGAGGGCTTGGCTGCCTCTCGCTGAGGTCCTTAACGTGCCAGCTGTGGGCAAAACCCCCTGCTTTCTCTGCAGAACTCAGCCTGTTGAGATGTAGCCTGAGGCTCTGGGAAGGCAAGTGGGCTATGATTCTAGCTCTCCGATCCAAACCAGGCCCCCACTCCCTCAGGGGCCCTCCCTCAGGGGCTGTGGTGCTAAGGGCTGAGATTCGGGCGCCCAGCAGCCTGGGGGTGATTCTCAGCTCAGCCACTTACCGGCTGGGTGCTGGGTGACTTGGGGCAAGTTATTAACCTCTTTGATCTTGGCTTCCTCTGCTGAGAATTGGGAACAATGACAGCCACTGACTGGGGTTCCTGTGAGGCTGAAACGAATCACATGGTGCCTGGCACATAGAAGGTGCTTTGATATGTTCCTTCTTTCACCTTCCTTCCCAACTCCTGGTTGGTGGAGCTGAAATAAGGGGTGGGCTCCTTTGACACCCTCTTCTGCCCCGTCGCCCAACTGCTGCCATTTTGTAAAAACTCCCTGGGAACCTGGTATTTGGGCAGGTTCAGGTGAATTTCCCCCTCCTCGGTTTTGTGGTGGGCTGTGTGAGTTGAAGATCTCTCAGTTATTAAGGGTTCAGCTCTGCTTATTGTTTTCCTGTTGCCCTCACTGGGACCCTCTAAGCGGTCAGTGGACATGGCAGAGACTGAGGTTCACAAAATGGTTCTCCCTGCACGTGGGACAACCCGTCTCCCACGCGGATCTTCACCCGGTCAGCCCCTGGCTCAGGGAGCCTCAGAGCCTGGATCCTGGGATGCAGGAAGCTCGGGGTCCCTGGTAGGGGTGGGGGTCAGGGCTGGGTGGTGAGGGGAGGGCTGTGTGATGTCTGTCTAGGTTCGGGTGCTGTCCTGACGGGGTGTCTGTGGCCGAGGGGCCCCATCAGGCTGGCTGTGCAAGCTCTTATGGACACAGCAACACCGGGAGCAGGCCACAGTCGAGAGAGGTGGCTTCCATGGTAAGTGTCTGGTCCCATGAGGGGCAGGAGTCCAGCCCCCAAGCCTGCTCAATGCCACTGCGACCCAGGCTCCCTGCAGCTTTAGCCTTGGAGAGAGGAGGTCTCTGAAGCCGGCTGGACTGGACCATCCTCTGGAGGGCATAGGGCTTCAGCAACAGGCCTGGGCTGGAGCTGGGGGGTTCAGCCAACATTCTCCTGGCCTCTGATCTGCCCCCAGGGCTGGGGTTATGCTCCGTGTGTTCACAGTTCTGTCCCGCTTCCTGCCATCCCCCGCCTGGCAGCCTAGAGTTCCCGCCAAGAGCCAGACCTATTTCCAACTTCCCAACCTTGGGCTTCCTCCCCAGGCCCAGCAGAATGAGCCCAGTGAGTGCCGGGGCTCCCAGTTCGGCTGTTGCTACGACAACATGGCCTCTGCGGTGGGCCCTCTTGGGGAAGGCTGTGTGGGCCAGCCCAGCTACAGTGAGTGGATGCCCCTTCTTGTCCTTCCTGGTGGGTAGGCTCTGGTCCCACTGTGCTGGCCACCCCACCCAGAGCCGAGAACCTTCCTACTGCCTGGGTTATTGCTCTTTTCTTCCACAAATACTTGCTGATCACCTACTAGGTGCCGGGCCAGAGAACAGTGCAAGATTATTATCGTGTCCAACAGTTTGCACTTGTCGCCGCCTGGTTGCTTGAGGGAGTTGGGGAGAGTTGTCGGTGGGGGATTCCACAGAGAAGGAAGGCTGTGCTGCCCCCGGGGCTCAGGCCCCTCCAGAGACAGGGTGGTTAGGGCTGGGATGGACGGGGTGTCCCCACCCTGCCTGGGATGAGTCCTGGAGGGAGGGCTGTGAGGCGGGTGCATGGGTGGAGCGCCAGGGACCATCACAGGGACGTTGGAAGCTAGGTGGGCTGGTGGGCTGAGTCTGCAGGGTGCTGGGCACCTGGATGGGCTTTAAGCAGGGGCCAGCGTGGTCACATCTGAATGCGGAGAGGGAGCAGGCTGTGCCTGGGAGGAGGGCGATTATTATGGGCAGGCTGGTGGCTGGAGAAGGTTCAGAGCTGGTGAAGGGCCCTGGGAACAAGGGTGGGCCCCTCACTGGGCATCTTCACAGGCCTTTGGGGGCTCAGGGCTGGGTCCTCATTGTGAGCTAAGCACAGCAAGGTTTGGCCCTGGGGTTGCTCTGTGTGTGCCCTTGGGGCCTGGGTCAGGTGGGGAAGAGCACGAGGGAGCCTGTCCAGGGAGCTCGTGGCCCTGACCTTTGGACGGCTCTAGTTCTGGGGGTGGAGGTGGACGGGGATGATTGTGGAGGCTGCTGGGTTCCCAGCCCAGGGCAGGTCTGGGCAGTGAACAGACTGTCCCCAGGGCTGGTCAGGGGCCCAGTGTAGATGTGCTCCATACCCTGGGAAGGGCCTCACTTCTACCTGGGTGGCGTTTGCAGCTTCGTTACTGGCTCTCGGTGACCTGCGTCCTCCCTGCCCCCTCAGGGTACCCTGTGCGGTGCCTACTGCCCAGCGCCCATGGCTCCTGCACGGACTGGGCCGCCCGCTGGTACTTCGTTGCCTCCGTGGGCCAGTGTAACCGCTTCTGGTATGGTGGCTGCCATGGCAACGCCAATAACTTTGCCTCAGAGGAGGAGTGTGTGAGCAGCTGCCGGGGACCCCAACATGGGCCCCGCCGACACGACCCTGGGGCCTCTGGGCAAAGCACCCATAGAGACAGTGGCGGCAGCGGTCCTGGGGACCAGCAGGAGGCCAGCCGGCACGGGACGGGGCCTGTTGTCCAGAGAAAGCCCTTGCCTTCCGGTGGCCCCTGGTGGCAAGATCAAGAGCCTGGGCCGGGGGCCGTGGACCACAGACAGGCCTTTGGAGAAGGGCCCCAGGGCCAGGAGCTTGGGCCCAGTGCTGCTGGACTGGGCAGAGATGCAGGACCACCAGTGCCACCTTCCCACAGCTCCTCCTACAGGTGAGGCCCACCTTCCCCAGGTGGGGTGGGGGATTAGGGACCCAGGCCCAAGGGCTGAGCCTTTTGGAGCTAAAACCCTGAGGTCAGCTGGGCCCCCCTCCATCCCTAACCTGGAATCTTCCAAACAGCCCAGACTGGAGGGCCTTGCTACCATCATTCTACAGATGGGGAAGCTCAGGCTTTGGAGATATGAGACTTGCTCAGGGTCAGGCAGTCGGTGGATGGTGGTGCCTAGACTCTTCAGCAGATCTTGCCGGTATAGCCTAGGGCCTATCTAGTTGAGGCCTAGGTTATGAGCTTCATGACCTTTGGCAAGTCATCCAAATTCTTGAAGCCTCAGTTTCTTGACCTGTAAAATGGTGATGTGATCTCATAGGTTTAATGTGGGTCTCATTTGTTGTTAGTCTTGTGACTGTCATATTAATGAGATTTGGGAAGATTAAAAACAAAATAAATAAAACTTTGAATTCCAAAGGGACCAGGCATGTCTTTAGCCCCCCATGTGAACCTGGTGTTGCTTCTCTCCCAGCCTCTCCATCCCTGGGCTCTGTGCCTATTCTGTGCTCTTGCAGGAATAGGTTGAGGTAGCAGTGGCTGGCGATATTGGGGGTGGGGTGGGGGAGGGTGGATTCCTGAGTCCTCATGCTTCTGGAGCTTGGCTTCCCCTGGGACCCTCTGGCCCCACCGGTGCCCAGGATGGGATGGGCACCAAGCTTTCTGTGTGATGAAGTCCCTGGTCCCGGCACTCATGCAGACCCTCCCTCCCACCTTTCCAGGATCACCCTGGCAGGCTCAGAGCTCTCCCTGGTACAGGTGGCCCTGGGGCAGCTGGTGCGGCTCTTCTGCCCAGATGACAGCTCCCTGGACCCCCACGCTAGGTGGCAGAAAGACGGGCGGCCCATCTCCTCTGCCAGGTGTGTGTGCAGCCTGCACAGCCCCTCTGATCTCCTGGGACGGTCGGGTGAGCGTGGGGCGACGGCGCCTCTTATAGGAGCCAGGCTCATCGTTGCCTCAGGAGCCCAGAGCTCAAGCGCCCAATCTTCATTCAGGCACCAGCTGCAGCCCGATGGCTCCCTGGTCATCAGCCCCCTGCGGGCAGAGGATACTGGCACCTACAGCTGTGGCAGCACGAGGCCAGACCGTGACTCTCAGAAGATCCAGCTTCGCATCACAGGTCTCTGTCCCCACCCCCCCGCAGTGGGTTCTCATGGGCCCCAGGGTGGGGTACCGGCCAGGCGGGCCTGGGCCGGGGGCCCTCCACACTGGAGGACTAGTGATTCCTTGGGCCAAGGCCGCCTGATGGCAGGGACCACATGCTCCAGCTGGGCTGGGGTGGATGTGTTGCCCCTCGTGGCCCTCATTTCTCCATTGGTTCCCTGCGGGCCCCATGGCCCACCCTTCCTTCCACCCCCTTCTCCCCACAGCTCACCCCTTGCTTCTCCTGGCCTCATGACAGGGGGTGACGTGGCCGTGCTTCCTGAGGCTGAACCAAGGCACTTCCCTCAGGCCAGGGACCCAGCCCAGGACCACAGTCCTCGGGACCCCAGCCTAGGGGGCAGTTCTGGGGGCCGGGGGGCCGTCTCCTCCTCACACCCATGGCCCACGAGCAGGTAACAGTGCGCAGTGCTGTCCCGCTCGTGGTCTTCCCCACTGAGGCCGGGGTTAGGGGAGGTCTTGGGGAGAGCGGGGGGAGGGTGGGTGGTCCCAGGCCAGCGTGTGCTGTGAGCAAGCTTGCTGGCCCCTGCTCAGGGCTCTGTGAGGGGAGGGCTGGGGAAGCATGGCTCCCCGGGCTCAGCGTCTGGAGGAGGAAGGGGACCCCGCTCACCACCCCGAGCCGTGGGGAACGGAGCCGGGGGCCGGCCCAGGCCTTGTCCCGCTCGTGGTCTTCCCCACTGAGGCCGGGGTTAGGGGAGGTCTTGGGGAGAGCGGGGGGAGGGTGGGTGGTCCCAGGCCAGCGTGTGCTGTGAGCAAGCTTGCTGGCCCCTGCTCAGGGCTCTGTGAGGGGAGGGCTGGGGAAGCATGGCTCCCCGGGCTCAGCGTCTGGAGGAGGAAGGGGACCCCGCTCACCACCCCGAGCCGTGGGGAACGGAGCCGGGGTCCGGCCCAGGCCTCAGGAGCCGAGGAAGGGGAGGACACCGGCAGCTAGAGGGCCTGAGAAGGCCTTGAAGAAGGGGACACAGAGAGCTGGGGGTGCCCAAGTCAAGGACCTGGAGGCAGACGCGCAGGTTGGGCGGGGAACAGTCGGAGGTTCTGGGTGGGGAGGTGCGATAAGCCACAGGTGTGTTTTAGACCTGGTCCAAGATGTCCCAACCGGAACAAAGGGGTGATGCCGGGAAGCGGAATCTGGCTGGAGAGGGAGAAGGGGCCCACGAGGCTGTGCGGAGGTCCCGTCCCCTGACGTGGGTGGGAGTGTGGGAGAGGCAGCGGCAAGGACCCCCTCACGGCTGTGGGGTGCTTGCTCTGCAGGCTGCGTCTGGACCGGCACCAGCCTGGGGTGGTGGACGCCCATCCAGGCCAGCAGATCCGGCTGACCTGTCGTGCCGAGGGCTTCCCACCCACAAGCGTCGAGTGGCAGAGAGATGGGCAGCCCCTCTCTTCTCCCAGGTTCGTTCAGCTCCTTTCCCCTCCCTCCTGGCCAGCCTCCAGCCGCACCCCCACTGGGGGAGGGAGCTGCAGGTGCCCCCTGGTCCTGAGCAGGACCCCAGGGCCCCTTGAGGGTTGGAGCTGTGGCGTCGGGCTCCTCAGGCAGACTGCATTTGGGTCTCTGGGCCTTTCCGGACTGTGGTTAGAGGACAGAAGTAAGGGCCCGCTAACAGAGGTGACAGCTGAGTGAGGAAACGGAGGCAGACACACTTCTGGCTGTCATCACAAGGGCTCACGGTTGTTGGGCCCGTTCGGAGGTGAGGCTTTTCTCCTCCGTATGGCCTGCAGAGGAGGCCAAATAGGTGGGTGCTATTTTATCCCCATTTGACACGCACAAGCTGAACACCACACAGCTCCTAAGTGGTAGAACCAGAACTGAGCCTAGTAAACAAGTGTAGCAAAAACTAGAAACCCAAACCAGAATTATTTTGTATCAGAAAACTTGTTTATTCAGGCTCTAAAGTCAGGCATCTTTAAGGAGAGTGCCAGCAGCTGGAGGGCCTGAGGGCCGGAGGCCTACTGGCCCTTGGTCAGATCCCAGTGACAGCGGGGGCTGCTCAGCCTCTCACCAGGGGAGGGAAGATCCTGCCCCTCCTGCCCCCTGCCGGGCACCTTGGGGTGGGGACACCTGATTGTGCTTGGCCCCCAGACACCAGCTGCAGTCCGACGGCTCCCTGGTCATCAGCCGCGTGGCTGTGGAAGATGGAGGCTTCTATACCTGTGTTGCAGTCAACGGGCAGTACCGAGACCAGCGCTGGGTCCAGCTCAGAGTTCTGGGTAAGGTGGCAGTCCCGGGCGGGAGGGTGAGTGTGGCCGGTGGCCTCTGAGGTCAGGTGGGGCAGGATGGGCGTGGTGGCTGACAGTGCCCCCTCCTTGGGCCCAGGGGAGCTGACAATCACAGGGCTGCCCTCTACGGTGATGGTACCAGAAGGTGACACGGCCAGGCTGCTGTGTGCGGTGGCGGGCGAAAGCGTGAACATCAGATGGTCCAGGTAAGGCTCTCCTCCAGGCAGGCCTGGCCCTCGGGCCCTCGGACCTGAGGTGGTACAGCCCAGAGGGGGTGCACCTTCCTGCGGGACGCTGCGGTCACCACCGCCCCCTCCCCTTATTCTTCCACTCCCGCCTCCCGGCCTGGTGTCAGGGAAGGGGCCACAGCGCCCTCATCCTGACACCCGGAAGCCCCCCGGGACTGCTCTTTTCTGTTGGTTGGGCTACCCCGGGTTTCTCAACCTCGGCACTATTGAGATTTTGGGCTGACACGTTCGTCTGTTGGGGTGCGCTGGAGGACGTCTAGCAGCGTCCAGGCCATCTACCTGCCAGATGCCAGTGGCACTCCCTCCCAGGTCATGGCAATAAAAAGTCTCCAGATGTTGCCAAATGTCTTCTGGGTGACAGAATCTCCACTGGCGTTGAGAAACCCTGGGCTGCACACAGCTTTGAGGACTTCAGTGGTCTTTTACCCCAAATCTGTTGGTCTTTTATTCATTCAGCAGTTTTTTGCCTAATTCCTCCTTGCAATATGTCAGGACTAGGCTAGGCTCTGGGGATCCTGGGGTAATCTGAGCTCCCCAGAAACTCCCAGGCAGGAGATGGCCCAGTGTCCCCCAGGCTCCAGAGGTTTGCCCTAAGTGCGTCTGTGCACAGTGGGGTGAGGCTGTCTTCTGCCTGGGAGAATGGATGAAGGGAAGGATGTTCTTGGTCAAGCCTCAAGGGTGAGTATTGGAGCGATGATGCCAGGATGGGAATGGGCCTGCACACTGGCAGGAACGGTGAGGGTCACGGAGGTCGGCTGCCTCTCTGTGGCCTTGATGCCAGGGAAGGTGGTGGGACCCTCTGCAGGCTTCTCAGCTGGTGCCCTCAGCCGGCCCTGCCCTGATGAGCTGTGGCTGTGATTATCCTATCAGGCCTGGATCTTCCCAGCAGCAAACATGCTCAGGACACCTCTCTTCAAAATAAACAAACATAACCACACCCTCCTCTGACCCAGTGTTTCCCTGCAGGGGGCCCTATATCGAGTCCCCTTTCATGCACGGCTGTTTACATTGTCTTGGTCTGCTCACCTCCCTGCTGGCAGCTCAGCCCTTGCCCGGGGCCTCTCCTCCACCCCCGCACCCCCATGCCAGGGACACTGCTCTGCCCGAGGTCACCAGTACCTCCCTGTTCCTCAGTCCTTGAACAGACTCAGTCCCACATGACCTGCAGTCTCCTTCCTGCTTCTCCGGCTGCAGCTTCTGCTTTCCTGGCCCGCTCATCACACATCCCTCTTTCTGAGAGGCTGGTGTACCTTGAGGTCTGTCCTTGGTCTTCGGTCCTCGGCTTTTCTCTAACTTCACCTTGGGTAGCCCTGTAGACGTGAAGTTTCCAGGACCATCAGTGCTGAGACACTGCCTGGGTCCAGACCTCAAACCTGATGGCTCCTGGTGTCTCAGAGCACCCGAAATGCGAAATGGGGGGACATAACCTCACCATTCACTCCTCATCCTGCCCTGGATCTCCCCACAGTGGAGGGGCACCACCACTGCCCAGTAACCAAGCTAGGAACCTGCTACCCTTGATCTCTTCTCCCCTACCTCCCACCTCTGACCCTCACCCAGGTCCCTTTGCTTTACTCTCTGGTCAACCTGTGTGCACACCTGCGGCAGCCACTCACCTGGCCTCTGCCCTCGGACTTGTCCCTGCCCCACGCTGCGGTTGGTGAGCCTTTCCAAGCACACGTGGCGCTGTCAGTCCTGCTCAGCTCACACCCCTCGCTTACCCCCAGGATCTGGTCCAGACTCCTGACGGGAGCCGTGTGCACTTCCTCCCACGCCCACTCTCCTCGCTGCGGCCGTGGCCTTCCTTCAAACCCCCGAGTCCTCCTGTCAGCCAGCCGCTCCTCCTCACCCTCAGGTCAGGCCTCGGCCAGCTGTCCTCCTTAGGGAAGGCTCCCCTACCACCTGCACCCCGCCCCACCTCGCTGTAGGCAGGATGCTCGTGTCCTTCATCCCACTGCTTAGAGGACCTCTGGGGACGAAGAGGGAGAGAGAGACTCCTGTGGGGATAAGGGGAAGATCTACAGTCACTTAGATCGGCTGGTGTGAGTCCACCTCACTTCCGAGGTATTTTGCTTCGGCGTTGCTGGTCTGTCATCTTGGTACCAGACCCATCCCTTCCTTAAGGTGAGGGGCCGCAAAGAGGGAGTCGTTGGCTCTGGAGTGGCCTTGGATCACCACCTCCCCCTGGCCCCGGGAGGGCTGGCACAGCTTCCCAGGGCATGAAAATGAGGGCCTGGACAGCTCTCCCAGTGTCCTCTCCCCCCACCAGGAATGGGCTGCCGGTGCGGGCTGATGGCCACCGTGTCCACCAGTCCCTGGATGGCACACTGCTGATCCACAACCTGCAGGCCAGGGACGAGGGCTCCTACACATGCAGCGCCTACCGTGGAAGCCAGGCGGTCAGCCGCAGCACCGAGGTGAAGGTGGTTCCGCCGGGTAAGGAAGGCCTACCCCAGGCATCTGCTTGTCCTTGAGAGCTGGATGCCTGCTGCAGAATGCAGAGGGGGCAGACTCTGCAGTCCAAGGGACTCAACTCCAAATCCTGCCTCACCTTGCCAGTTCCTGGTAGTGTGACTTGGAGCAGGCCAGTTATCATGGGGCTTGAAACAGCCCTGGGAGAGAACTGCCAGGGCCTTTCCATGCTGGTCAGCCTGGATGGTCAGGCCTGGCTACCTCCTGTCTGTGGGGCTGAGGTTGGAATTGGCCAGGCTAAAGGTTGAAGTCTGGTAGAAATGTTGCTTAGTGAGCGGGACTGACAGTAGGCTTCCAGTCTGAGCTCCTTCAGACAGCGACTGGGACGCGCACGTCCCAGGGCCCAGCGCAGTGCTCAGCATCACCAGGTGCTCAGAGACTCAGTGACAGAGTACGTGCCTGCGTGAAGGCGTTGCCTTGGCCAAAGCACCGTCCTGCAGGGGCCACTTTTCACCTCTGTCCTGCCCAGCAAATAGATCCTTGTCTGTGTATTTACCAAACTTACGAGACTTGAGACAGGCCAGAAGGCAGATTTATGTGAGGAGGGCTGTTAGGAGGATCCAGATGGGCATGTTTGTGATTAGCTATAGACAAGTCTACCTGGGAAGCTAAACTGTAATCAGAAATTTGGTTGATGCTGAAGTTTGGTGGGGCTCCTGATGTGGTGACGTGACTGCCTTCCTGGATAGGACACTATGGCATCAGTCTAGCTACCTTTCTCCCGCCCCGTTAGATGAGCGTTGCTAATCTTACTTTTTGTGTGTGTGGGCAGCAGGGGGGACCTTTCTTGATGAGAAGCTATCTCCCTCCCTCCTTTAACAGTGTTCGTTCCACCGATTAGGCTGCATGTTATCTGCTGTCACCCATTTAAGCTTTTCGTAGCATTTCACTGCTTGAGGCTGTCTCACTGTGCCCTATTCGTGGTTTGGTGGCATGTTGGAACTGCAGTGTTCGAATCAGGGTGGGGGGCCTTGAGCTAGTCACACTCTGGTGTAAGGGACATACTTCTACTGTGAAGACCTCTCAAGCTTTTTGCCTAAAAGTTTAGGGTGAGAAACAGAAAATACTGTAGGGTTAAAACATAGGAGGGGCGGTCACTCATACTTCTCTAAGTGAGTGGGAATGCTATGGGGCAAAACAGTTACATGCGCACATTCTAGCCATGCTTACTATGTGCCCCAGGTGCTATTATTATCTCCACTTCAGATAAGAAAACTGAGACACAGAGAGCTTAAGTAATATTAATTTGCCCAGAGACCCCCGGCTAGAAGTGGCAAGAGCCATGATGGCGCCCAGGCAACCAGCGTGCTTCACCAGCAAGCCCAGCACCTCCTCACCTCTGGCTGTGATGGGTCCAAGGGCTGCAATGGCTGAGATAAAGTTGATACCAAAGTTATGATTTTTAAGAATAGGCATAGATGGCTTTTTACGTAAATGTAAGTAGTTCGTACTCTTGTATTATCGATAAACCAAGCCTTTATACAGCCGTCCACTTGTTAGGTATGGTCTTTCAGTTATATCCTGGGAGGGAGCAGGGGAGAGGGCATGGAGTAGGCCATCCCCAGCCCCACGAGGTGACTTAAGGGAGGTGCTGCTCAGGCCTAAGCCAAGCTGAGTCATAAGAGCCCCTTCCAGAAAGAAAAGGCCACTTCAGTGCTAAGATGAAGCAGCAGGATGAAACTCTCACAGGGATTTATAAGATACTGAAGCTTCCAGTAAATTCAGAGGGGGAGGCAACCAGTGCTTTGTGCTCGATGTAGTATCAGTGCCACAGTTCACAGCCTGTCCTCCTGTCACCTTGCCTAATACTCTTTGCTGTCTCCGGGGGAAGTGGAAAAATTGGAAAGATGGGGAACTAAGTGACTAAGCTGGGGCTATTGAAGGCACAAAACTTTTGAGGGAGGAGGAAACCAGTAGTGAAAGAGAACACAGCCTTTGCCGACTCAATTGTGCTTAGGGCTGACCCTGCTCTCTCTTCTGCCCCATCCACAGGCTGCAACAGTGTCGTCCAGCTCTTCGGGTCTCAGTGGTCAGGGCAGGGGGTTAACTTCCAGAGATGTTTAATCGTCCAGGCAGTCAATATTTGGGAGTCTGTGATGGGCTGTGCACTGGGTGGAAGCTGCAAAAGAATGGGAGGACCACTGCATGCTGAAGTGAGGCCAGTGACAATGGAAACTGAGAGCCATCCCATAGCTGTACATACAGGTGTCACAAGGTTACAGAGTGAGAGCACTTTCCTTTCAGGGAAACAAAATGAAATGAAATGGTAGGGGAGAGTTCTCAGCCTACACAGAGCTTTCTTACCACCCTCTCTCCCCTGCTGTCTTGCAGCACTGGCCACCGTGCCGAGGGACCCTGGCAGGGAGTGCATCGACCAGCCGGAGCTGGCCAACTGTGATTTGATCCTGCAGGCCCGGCTCTGCGGCAACGAGTACTACTCCAGCTTCTGCTGTGCCAGCTGTTCCCGGGTCTAGCCTCCTGCACAGCCCATCTGGCAGCAAGGATACAACTCACAGGGCTGGGAGAAGGGAAGAAAGGCTCTCGGTCTCCCCTGTCTGGCTGGCAAAGGGAGTTCTCCTCCGGAGACACTGGCCTCTTCAGAGCTGCTCCAGCAGTTGAGCACCAGCGGCAGCCTCCCTCTGTAGTCCCAGCAGTGTTTGCTTCTCGGACGTACCACACGCGCCTGCTGAGTTGTCAAGAAGAAGCATCTATTTGGATAAGGACATCCTTCACTTTACAACTTCCCTCTAAAATTTGTTACACAGGATCAGTTCACTGTGTTTTAAAGGAAGCCACCAGGGTTCTCACTTCATTTAAACCTGTGTGGGGAGGTGTGTAACGATCTCAAAGTTAATACCTATCTTCTACGGGAACACTAACTCCTGTTGTGTCAGGGAAGCATACTTTGATAGAACTATGTCTCATCTGGGGTCCAAACAGCGGTTCACTGCTCTAGCCTCTCTCGCCCTTCTAGGTAGTATAGCAAGCAGCTTCAAATCCCATCTGTGCGTATGGTCATTAACAGCATGATGTTTGTGAAAACTGTCGACGAAGTGGAATATAAATGAAAGGCTCAGTATAGGGATTTGGGATGAAAGAGCAGCCATGCATCATTATCTGAGTATGAAAGAACTAGAAAAGCTCCTTCCTTTCATCAAGAGGCTGGAGCCTTCCTCCCGAGGTGGACATGCAAAGCCAAGCCGTGAGGATCATCTCACACCTGCAGGGAGCAGGCGGGCCTGTTCGGTGCAGTGACCAACAAGGAGCCTCTCCTCCTCAAGCCGGTATGTCTGATGCAAAATACTTGCTGCCAGATAAAAAGCAGACTGTTGGGCTTCCCTGGTGGAGCAGTGGTTAAGGATCCGCCTGCCAATGCAGGGGACACGGGTCTGAGCCCTGGTCCAGGAGGAGCCCACATGCTGCAGAGCAACTAAGCCCGCGAGCCACAACTACCGAAGCCCATGTGGCTAGAGCCCGTGCTCCGCGACGAGAAGCCACCGCAATGAGAAGCCTGCGCACCGCAACGGAGTAGCCCCCGCTCGCTGCAACTAGAGAAAGCCTGTGTTGCAGCAGCAAAGATCCAACTCAGCCCAAAATAAATAAGTAAATAAAACAAAAACACTATTATAGAAAACAGCACCAGCAGGATGGGGGTGGGGACCAATGGAGTAGAGGGCGATGTAATACAGGGAAGTGGTTTCAGAAATGGTTTGAGTTGGAAGAGGTCATTCTTCCTCTCTTGGAGCCTCTTAATTCCTTGCTGCTAAATCAAGAGGCCTCGTTTCAGTGAGTTTCCGAGTTTCTTTCCACTTTAACCTTCTACACATCCTCCAGAGGACTGGCTGGGCCTAGTAACAGAGGTTATTCTGGGACACAAGAAAGACAGGCATTACAGGGAAAGGTGACTATTTTATTACCAACACACTGGCTGGAAAAGACAAACAGCTGCATCATGGGTGAGTGATACTTCTTGGTCTACCTCTCATTCAACAAAAGAAATGTGGTGGCACAGGTCTTTTTTTCTTTTCATTTTTTAAAAAATATTGAGGTGCATCCCTTTCCCTAACCATGGCTGGTTTTGCTGTAGAAATTGGAAACTAAGGGCTACCTTCTTGGGCTCCCCCGTTCTTTAGTTAAACTAGTATTTGGCAAATTTTTGACACACTTCGGAAGGTAAGTTTGAGGTTAGTTAGTTCTTGGAACTAGTCACAGAGTAGTGGGGTAAGGTTAGAGGTGAGAGTAAAACTCAATCTAGACCAGTGGTTCTCAACCTTCTTCCATACTGGGAGCTTTTTAAAACACTGAACCTGGGGTTCTACTCTCCAGAGATTTTGATTTAATTGGTCTGGAGTATGGGCCAGGCATGAGGATTTTAAAATCTCCCAGATGATTCTAATATGCATTCAAAGTTGGAAATCACTGCTCCAGCCCAACTTCTCAGAATGTGAATCTCGTTAAAATGCAGATTCTGATTACTAGGTCTGGGGTCGGCTGAGGTTCTGTATCTCTAACCAGCTGCCAGGTTGAAGTCTGCACTTTGAGCAAGAAGAATCTGACATCAGAGATGCGCTTAGGAACAACCAAAAACCTAAAGTGTGGATACAAATATGAATTTTAAGAATATACTAGTCACAGTGAAAGATTTTCTAGCCATCAACCTAGAAATCTGTGGCGGCAGTAGAATGGAGAGAGAGAGGACAAGACCAAAAAGAACCAAAACTCACTTGCTAATAAAGGGGAAAGAATAGCCCTTCATGGCCAAAAGCTTCTACCACGAACATTTATTTCTGTTAAAGCAGATTATAAATTCTCATCAGTACAAATATATATAACTTACATTTGATTGTAAGGCCAACGTTCAAAAGTAAAAATGAGATGGGATCTCATGTTGTTACCAGAGGTCAAGTGGCTGCAACTGGCAAATGGGATGTTCTGCTCACTGGGAGGGAGAGGGATGGACACCCCCCCACACGCACACGCACACGCACACACAGTGCTAATAAAACTAGAACCTCCATCCCCACAAAACTCATGGGAACAAAACTTAAAGGACAAAGCAAAACCCACCAAGACCTACAC